TGTGTGTGTGTGTGTGTGTGCGTGTGTGTGTGTGTGTGTGAATTTTCCATGTTACTTCACACACCTGATCAGGACACAAACACACTGCAGCTTCACCTCAGTCTCTCTGTGTCCATTAAATATATTCTCTCATTTTATTGAGGTTTCATCATCAGCACGTCTTCAGACATGTAATCCCTCGTGTTATAATCTACTTACATCTAATCCAGTCTAATCTCTTCTCACCTCATGTCGTCTAATCTGTTCTAATCTGACCTGGTCTATTGTAATCCATCTACATCTATCCCAGTCTAATCTCCTCTCGCCCAAAGTCATTTAATCCTGTTTAGTCTATTATGATCTAGCGTCTATCTAATGTAGTTTATCCTAATTTAAATCTAATCTAACTCTTGCTGAATCAATCTAATTGTATGTGTAACATCTTTAAATTAGCCCCATATAGTGCTAAACTAATCTAGTCTAATCTGATAAATGCAAATTCTTTCTAAATTCATTGAATAACACGTTAACTATGGTATAGTTTACCTTATTTAATCCAGTTTTGTTTTATCTTATTCTTTTCCAAATGTACGTTTATCCAGTCTAATTCAATTTAAATCGTCTGAAATGATCTAAACTGGAGTTAAATTGAATCTGAGCTCTTTGTTGAATGAACAGTTTTATGTGGAGTTAATGAAATCTGAGCTCGGAGGCTCTGGAACCCGCTGATCCTTTGAATCAAAGCCAAAACTGTACATTTATTGAACAACATTCCCAGATTCGACAGAATTCTAGTTTTTATCATGTAATGGTCGTTAATGCTTGAATCTCTGTCACACGCTTGGTGTCTTGATCTTTTCATTCATTACTGTTGATGCATGAAACAGCAGAACAAGAGTCAGCCGCCAAACTCAGAGGTCGTTATTCACGCTCCAGAGGAATCCCAGCTCAGGACGGTGGGTTACAGCTTTTCAACTTAAGGTCAGTTTGGCGCTCGCAGCGTTTCCACGGGACGGGCGGAGAAAATCCCTGCGGCTTTGATTCTGTTTTAATGTCTCAACAGTGACACAGCCGCTCCTGAAATAGCAGCGAAACTACTGAGGAGGGTCGCGTCGCTGTTAGCATCGCAGCACAGAGCGGGCCGGCTGCAGAGCAACGCTTTGATCACAGCTGAGTGGTAACTGTGTGTGTGTGTGTGTGTGTGTGTGTGTGTGTGTGTGTGTGTGTGTGTGTGTGTGTGTGTGTGTGTGTGTGTGTGTGTGTGTGTGTGGCACTTTGATCACCACATTTGGTCGCATTAATGACAGAGTCGCCTCCACTGTGTTATCATTAGAACATCTAAACCATCCTGATTACCCAGC